GACCGCGCTTGTGTGGCATCTACCAACGTACCTCTGCCGTGTCGAACGGATGCAATCCAGGCGCTCCTGCTGCAGAGCGGTAAATGCCAGAGCAGCCAATTCTTCAGGCTGATGGGCAATCGAATGCAGTCCCAATCGATGGGAGACACCGCGGTCGCCTCCTTACCCGCAGGTGAAACGGGAAACGGCAAGGGAAACGGGGATGGAGTCGCAGTTAGAAGCAGAAACACTCAAGACAACGTTCAAAGTGGTGGGCCCATATGTGCCGCCCTACACGGAGTGTTTGTCTTATATAGGGCACTACTCCCAAGGGCCGCGTCCCCTCAATGGCATAACTCCCAGAAGCAGTACAAAAGAACCTTCTATGTCCTAGCGTACCAATCCCTGACAACCAATCCGCACCACAACCCCTATTCGAGACCTCTGCATGATACTCCCGACTCCCTGACGCACCAAAGTGACAACTCACCGACACAGATAGAAGGCATTACTCCCAGATCGAAGGCATTACTCCCGGATCAACGTGAAGTCGCATTGCCATCCACACGTTCACAATCTGACAGGTGGCTACAACTCCCGACCTGTTCCAGATCACGCCCGGCACAGCCACGCAATAGTTAATCCATCATTCAGACGCCCCAATACATTAGTCCAATTGTCCCAGCCTTAATGTTCCTCACCGGACCTTAACAATCCGTGTCCGGCCTTCATGACCCATGCCCGGCCTTGATGGTCCTATTCCCGGCCCTGACAATCCTACGCCCAGCCTTGACGATCCATTCCCGGCCTTGACGATCCAATTCCCGGCCTTGACGATCCTGTACTCGGGAATAAGGTGGGAGTCCTGGGAGTCATCTTCAATGGTGCAGCTTCAGGGTGCTGAGTCGGGGAGAAGTCCTGCTGGGGTCAGGGGTTCACCCAGCAGCTCAGAGGCCCCCAAAGGATGCGGTTTGGACAGCCATCAACAACGGTCGCCTATTCATGGAGGCAACGGAACAAGAGAGTTAGTCCTTCAAATGGTAGTCCATGATTAGAACGGTCTAGTACCTGTTCACCATATCCTGGCGGATTCAGTCAGTCATGTTCTAGCAGCTCACCCAAGGTCTTAACGAAATAGAAGAAACATCAGGGGTACTTAAAAATTCGCCACACTTGCGCAGCGCGCGGGATATCCGGCCTTGTTAAATTAGATTTTTCTTGTGGAAAGCCTCGCGACATCGCTCAAAGTTTCAAGTTGCCGCGAGCGAAGCTGGCACACACTCCCTGGACGTTCTCCATGCGCTGCCCAGGAGCGGCAATGCCGCCCGGTGTCGCCTTGCTCGGGGTGGCTCCCTGGAAAGCGTCGTGGCGACGGCGCGCGCTGGGAGATCTGCCGCCCCGTTGGTTGGCCGCCCCCATGGTTGGCCGGTGCTCGCCATCCGATGGCCACGGGCAACGCTTCTTGGTTTGTGGGCCCGCAGTGGTGGATTGGGGTCTCTACGCGGCTTGCTCCAGGGGCTGGCTGGGCGATCCCAAACGGCGGCGGCAGAACGGGCTGTTCGCAAGTGAACAGCCCGGGCACACGCGTTTGTGCAAGACACTCGTTCTCCCTTTGACTGGCAGAGCGCTGCGCAATTGCCGGCGTTGGACGGAAAGAGGAAGGCGGATAGTGAGCGTCTGATTGTGTCAGCCAGGCGTCAATGTGGTCAACTGAGTTCCTATCCACCTGTTTTTGCTCGAGGCGACAAGCTGCATTTACCGTGAAGTTCGTTCCTTTGTTGAAACTTGTCTGAAATGGACAAAGTTAAGCACTTCCGCCCCATGCGATGCGAGGCATTCATGTATCCTAAAACGTGTTCTCTCGCTCGTATGTGCGTTTTTGTCCACTCGCCACCATCCTGCAATGCATGCAGGGAGTGGTCAAATAGCAGCACAAGCACCCCGAGGCATTTTTAGGGATCATGGCTTTGCTCAATTTCTGCTGCACAGTTTATTGCAGAGTAAGCCCTGTTTCGTGGAGGATGCCCTGGCAATGGAACTGGGACGTGCAGGTGCCCTGTATCGCATTTGCTTGCAAACGGGCATCAGTGCAGCAAGAGTGCTTCACCAGTGTTGTGTTGTTTGCATGAGTCCATTGCAGGAAAAGCAATGATTTCCAGGTCGCAAGTCTTGTGAATCTGTTCTAAAATGAACGTGGGCTGGCTGTGCACCACACCAAAACCACCACCAACACCAAAATGTTGATGCAGCTTGTGCGCCAAGAGCCTTAAGTGCAGATGAGATGACCCAGTCTGCAGTGGCAACACTCCTGGCCCCTGAACATAAAGTTTTGCTCTGGAACCTAAATCTAAATTCTCGCTGTGTACGCCTTTACCCTTGCTGCAGCATGTCTCACCACACCCGACGCGTTGGGGCCTCCAACACAAACGCATGACAACGACAAGGAGAAATGTGTGCTCAGGACGCGGCACATAAACAACCAGCTTTTGTAAGTTGCAGGCATGCAGACGATGCTTGAACGTCATGATCATGGTCACTGTGTGAACAGATGCTGAGCGGCACTGAGCTGTGGATTTCAGTTTGTGTTTTTGCTCACGCAGAGGAATGTGAATGACAGTCTGGAAAGTGTGTTGTTCATGGCAGATTGTTGAGGATCCGATGTGTTGTGTGTGAGCAGAAGCAAGGCATACTTCCGATGACAGCACTTCCCTAAGAGGGCGCTTGACAGCAAAGCACATCTGCCGTCAGAAACGGATGCATGCGCCAGTGTGGCAGCTGCCTTCCTGCAGGTCAGCTTTTAGTAAGTTGGTTTTTGTTGTTGTCGCTACTGCGTGTGTTTCTTTCCAAGTTCGTGTTTTGATCGCATCCGCCAAAATAGAACAAGTCAATGGCTTCACAGATGGTGGACGACACAGCTGTCGCCCCCAGGCAGTGCTTCAATTTGGCTGTGCAAGCTGCAGCCATGGGCCCAGTTTAGCAGCCTCCTGAGTAGTCACCAGACAGATCGTTAGTCACAGTTCTGCAGTTTTGTATTGCAGTGTAGGTCCTCAGTACATCGTAGTGCAAGCCTTGTGCGAGTACTGCTGTGCATCCTGCATGAGATGCAAATTCAGCAATTTGTACTGCAAGAATGGAGCGACTTCTGGAGTCAAAATAGGCGACTCCTGTCCCCAGAAATTAATTAAGCAATAGTGTTGCCAGCATGGAACAGATTGCAGTGTCAGTGTCAGTGTCAGAATCCAGATAGCTCCTCCTCCAGAAAGCAGAGAGGTATGCAAGAATTCAGCCTTGTACGTGCTATGAATACTGTATTACCAAGTACTGAAGCACAGTACCAGAGTACAAAGGTACCATTCTGTGGCACTTTAGCAGTGTCTTGGAGCGGAAAAAGTAGGTACTGTTGTCTGTGCACACTGAACCCAGACTCCTGTGCCACCCCTTTTGCCTGCTGCTTTCAGGTGACAGCGCAGTCTGACGCCTTGTATTTTGTATGTCATTGATCATGCATCTGCTATTGGTCACTACTTATCGTTTATTGTATGTGCCATCGTTTGTTTTGTAAATACACTCCGTTGTTATGGTTTCATCCTGGGGATCGTGGCACAGTTGCAGTTCCATTGTTGAGGCAGGCTGATGAATATATTACAGCTGCCACATTGACAAGTCGTTGGTGGTGCATTGGCGGCTGATTTTGGCTGTTGTCCTTATGTTACAGTTGCAGTTTCATTGTAGTAGTTTCCACTGCTGTTATTGTGCTCAAATCCATGTTCATATTGCTCAACTGCCTTATTGAGATTGGGCTTGCAGCAGTGTCGACTTTGTGTTGCAGGTGCTTGCTGGCCAGCAAGATGGTGAAGCAGTCAGTTCTGGTCACACACAGAACACCTTGAAGGTGAGGCCAAGATGCTGGGAAGCACCCATCTTCTACCACTGTCACAGACACAGCTTGATGCGCCCTCAACAGAAGGCGCATCCCTCACACAAGGCTCGCCGCCGATGGCATGTTACCACAACAGGGCAGAGTCAAGCAGTGCATGGGGCCTTCAGCCAGGCTGCACAAGGTCTGCTAGACAGTACGTACGGTACAGGCCGGACAGGCCAGACAGGGCGTGCAGGCAGCAATGCTTGTCATACTGGGCAGCTGCCATGGACAACACTCCTTTGGGCAGTGGCTCTTAACATGGCTGATCCAATTGCCCATTCTTGGACCTTGATGCACGGCTGGGACACAGATGGCAGTTAATACTCATGCTGGCGTGAAGCAGTTTCTCTTGACGTTGCATGCATCTTATGCATTGATCATCAAGATGCCTCCATATCATTGCCACCATAGTTGATTGTTTTCTCCATTCCCAATTCCTACTGTTACATTACATTTGATGGTGGGGTGGATCTGAATGTAAAGCTGCTACTGTCTCGTTGTCTTCGTGGCATTCATTGCTTGCTTTGTCTACACCCCTGTACTTTCTTTTTTTTACCCTGGAATATTGAAATCTGTTATGCATGTGCACCTGTGGGCAGAACTGTCAAATTGCCTCCAGATTCTCTTAAAGGACACATAACATGCAAAGGTGGTTGACCTGTCTTCAGCCACACACAGAGTGTCTGACGAGCTGCAAAGACATTGCCTATCTGACAACGCCGGCAGTCTGTATTGGTGGGTGGAATATCAGACAATGGAATCCTTTCACTCCATGTGCGTTCTCCTGCAAACAGACTGCTTGCACAAAGCAACCTTCAGCGTTTTGAATCGCGTGGCACTTTGTCTTTCGGAATGAAACAACAACAGCAATGGATCCCTCGATCCAGCTCAACAGTCAGAAAACTTTGCCTAGGTGCATCGCCCAGTGGGTCCATGCTAGCTGTTCCACTTTATTCTGCACAAGCTGTGCCACGTTTTTTCCCACCTCTGTGCGCAGAGTGTGCCTCTGCTAATGACGAAAATTCCTGTGGGACTGCAGGGCGTGGCACATCCCGACGTGTTGAAGCGAGTCCGCGCCCAGGACAGCACACCAGAGGGTATGAGCGCGTCGACCATCCAGGCCAACAATGTGCCACAGCAGGCGTCAGCGTCACAGATGCCAATGCTGGAAATGGCGGCGCCGGCCGACATCTCTCTGCTGCAGGCCATGGGCGACCCGCTGAAGCTGAGGCCTAGTCTGGAAACGTCCATCGCACTGGGCGGCTCGTGGAGGGGGCTGGGCAGCTGGGTGGCAGGGGCTAGGCGCCCCAGCTACCCAAGGGGGTGCCAGGGTAAAAGTGGAGTACCCAAAGAGTGTGCCTCAGGGACTGTTGGTGGAGAAGCTGGAGCTGGAAAAGCTGGCAGCCCAGGTGGGAGGGCAGGTGCTTCCGCAGGGCATGCAATAGGATTGGATGACACCGGGGGATTGATGCGGGGATTCTGTGATCTGTGCATTGGGATCGACCGGGCGTCTTGCGCACTTGTGGGGATGGCTGGCAGGAAGGGGCCAGTGCCGTTGGCATTTGGGCTGGCATTGCTTGGGCGTCTACCTGTGTGGGATGTGGCTTGCAGTGTCAGGAGGGATTGGGCTTGAAGAAGCAGCTGCAAGATCCAATCTTGAGAATACATTGGCCGGTGGGGACCAGAGGGTGTGGTGGTGATTGTTTGATGCATTCAGTTGCTGGGCAGGCTTGTAGCATGGGTGGAAGCAGGTTGTTGACCTTGAGGATAACGAAGTACTGGGCAGGTGTGGCACCACCTGAGTTGCTAAGGACAGGACCAAAACTGTTGGCTGGTGGGGCGTTATATGTGTACTGATAGGTACTGATTATTGAACATGTCTAGATGGGTTAAAAGAGCATTGGGCACTGCTGAAACTGCAATAATAAAGTAGTACTCTTCCGTTCGGCCAGGGGGCCTTTGTGTATTGTTGATGATGCACGCCCCTCGATGCGCTGCAACCACAGGGATGCGAGGCTGATCATCATAATCCCCAGAGTTCCAGTGCAGCACTCGGCCCACCTTTGCCTCTCCCGACGGACGAGGCACAGACCCCCGCGCACCGAGCGCACTGCAGTCCCCCCGCGCTCTGACCCCCGAGCACCCCCGCGGCGACGATCCAGGTTGGCCTGGCGCCGTCGCGTGCAGGCGAGCTTTGATTCCGCGATGGAATCTGCCGCCAAGGATCACCCTGACGACCCGCCCATCGGGGCCCCATGCCCCAGGCCGCGACTGGCGGCCCCTCCGGCCAGCCGGCCCTCCCGCAAGAGATCCCCGCCGAAGGCGCAGCGGGAGGTGCCCGGTCGTGCGGGCCGCGGGGATCGGCCCAAAAAGGCCGGTCCCCTGAGGCCAACTTCTGGCCCCAAGGGGCCAGGCGGGACGTCCCGCCCCAAGGGCAGGTCGAAGCCGCATGGCGACGAGGTGCGACTGCGCGCGGCACACTTACCTTTGCGCCCGGCTGTGTCGCTCCGCGCGCTGCGCCTGCTTGGAGGCTGCGGGCGGCTTGTGATTGGGGACGGGCCTTTGCAGGAGAATTTGGCGGTTTTGGCCAACGCGCCTCCAGCATCCAGCGAGGTGGGCCAGGCAGGTCAGGCAGATGGGCCCCACAGGCGCGGAGATCCGGGGCCGCCCGCTGGCCTGCTGGCCGTCCTGGCAAAAGAAGAGAAGGCGGAGAAGGTGAGATCTCGGCCACGCCGTCCGAAAATTCGAGGCGGGCCCGCCATGCCTTGCCCTTCGAGGCGGGCCGCCCGCCGCGCCCCTCCCCTAGAAGCGGCCTGCCCGCCACGCCGCTGATCGCATACTTGCCATTTTTCGCGATGGGATGGATCCCGCCATTTGCCGCACCTGTAGGTCTCTCTCCCTCCGCGGAGGAGTCGCTCCGGGCTCCGCGCCTCTTTGGAAAAGGAGTGACAGGGCTGCCGCGCCGTCCAGGAGAAGAAGCGGCTTGAGGACGCCAAGGATTGGGAGGCCATGCTGGCGGAGATGCGCCAGAGTCTGAACGCCAAGATCGCCGCCCTCCAGAAGAGGTGCGGCAAGCTGCCGCGCAATGGCTCCGCTCCCGCCGAGACGGACAAGGGGAAGGAGCCCCCGGTTCCCAGCGCCGGCGCCCGACCTGACACGCAGCCGCAGAAGAAATCAGAGGCGCCAGGAGGGGCTGGGGGCACCAAGAAGGCGGCCCCAATTGGGCTTGCAAGCCACGACGTCCCGGACGAGTGGCTGGACGATCCCGGCTACCCCATTGCCACGGGGCCCATCCTCCAGTTCAAGTGGGCCAAGAAGATCAAACACAAGGCCAAGCGCCTCGTGCACAAGGGCGCAGTCCCGCAGGTGAGTTGAAAAGCGATCTACAGAAAGCGACACACCAGGCCACACCAGGCACGCCAGGCACACCAGGCACACCAGGCACACCAGGCACACCGGCGCGAACAGACGGCGCCGCTAGGCGAACGGCAGGGATTGCCTTGAACCTCAACGACTCAGAACGCAAACGACACGCACTCTCACAACTGACGGCCCCCCACATGGCAATCACCACGCATGCATACACGCAAGGTAGTTGAAGATTCGCCACGCCGCGGGCACCCGTCCCACCCATCCCCTCCGGAGGACGCAGCTCCCCCTCCAAGAAGAGGGAGGAGAAGAGGTTGAAGGAGGTGGGGGCCGGCGCGCCAGCCCCCCCCGTCAGCAACAAGGATTCGCCCATCAAGAGGGCTGAGGGGGGCTGGAAGGCGAAGGGGAGGCAGGCGGCTAGGGCCAGGCGGCAGGAGCGACAGATCCGGCGGGCCCAGATCGTGAGCCAGGCGCAACCTTCCCAGGGACTTCTCGCTCAGATCGCGGGCCACGGACAGCCAGCCAACCAGCCATCGTCCGTCCAGGCACAGGCCAGCGCTGGCCCCGCACAGACCGCCAACCATGGGCAGCAGGCGCAACACATCGTCCCTCGTGGAGGCCGCGCTGCGCCCAATGAGAAGAGGGCAAAGAAGAGGGTGCAGGGATGCGTGAAGGTGAAGCGCATCCCCACCATGGCAAGCAAGGCCAGGCGGCTTGCGCGGGAGCTTCAGAGGGGCCAGCGCCAGCCAACACCGCAGCAGCCGGGGGTGAGCTTCCAGGGGCAGATTAGTAATATGACACCGGAACTATCAATTGAAGGGCGGCAATTTCCGAGCAATATTTCACCAGCAAACTCCTCAAGGCTATTCGTGTTGCAAACAACAGCATTCCGAGGGGCCGCATGGGATATCTTATTGGGCAGTCTGGATTGCCCAAATGCTATCTCAATTACCGCCCCACATATGTTATTCAGTAGCAAGGGTACCACGCTATAATACGTTCCCTTGCAGCTCAGCCAAGGCCAACAGAAGTGAGGGATACAAAACATGCTGTGCCCACACTTGAATTGATGCAAACTTGGCAATACTCCGCGATAATTATCATATCTTGACTGTCCTTGTGTGACAGAGATATATGATATCGAAAAGGCGGCCCCGGTCGTACAGCTCCTTTGCGAACACATCGCCAGCGATTACGCCATGGACATCACATCACATCACATCACATCACATCACATCCTTGCGCCTCACACTCTACCATTCGTACCACATTTGAGCATGCTTCTGCAAAACTCATTGTTATATCCCTCACACAATCACTTCAGTCATTCCCCATCTTTCCAGCGCACGCGCAGCACCACAATGGAATCTGTGACCTGAAAGCTTCGCAGGAATATTCGTTCACACCTACAGCCCCTTTCCCGCACTTCAATGTACTGCTCAAAAGTAACAGTGTGGTGCCGCAGGCATGCCATGAGTCCTTGATCGAATCGAAGCACTGATGCACTCACCCAGCGCATCAGCAAAAAAATTTATAAATTTCATGACCAAATACATGACTACATTTCTGATGTTTCTGTGCACAGCAGGTTGCATCCCTATGGGGCTGTCAAACCTCACAGAAACACCTAAAGTACATCTGCCTGCGACAGAAGAATTGAAGAGAAATAACATCACAACTCACTTTAGCCTTCCCTGAAAAACTGCTCATCGATCAGCCTGGAATCCACGCCTGCTTTGGTGCTTTTATGCACATCAATCACTGAGAAGGCAAAACTATTTCCATCTACTCCCGTGGGGCCCGTCACTTGTACCCGTCAGATAGTTGCTGTGTTGCGCCACCACCAGCGCTGGTGCGCAATCCGAAACCCCGTCCAGCTTTCAAGGCCTCTACCCGGCCTGTAGACCCATCGGTGAAGGCCCGCCACGGACCGCTCCGATTGCTTGCCCCACCGATCGCCGTAGGTGATCGCAGCCATAGGTGAAGCGAGCCAATCGACGGGCATTGCTGCAGCCGATCGGCGCAGATCCATCTTCCTGGCAGTGCTGCGTTGTCGGACGCCGTTTTCGAGTGAGGACGCAGCTTCATGAGCCAAGCGCGTGCGCCCAGAGGGGCGGCGCGCGGATCCCAGTGCTCCGCATGAATTCCTGGGATGCAGCACCTCCGTGGCGTCAGTACAGTATCCCGTACCTCTACCAGAATAGGACACACGTCGAGATACCCACGCGCCTCACCGCATTGTCGTCTCCAAGTTCTCCTTCTATGCTACAGGTCGTCTTTTTGGAGGACTCCAAGCACTTATCTATACTTTTGTGGATTTTGGCCAGTTTCTAGCCATTTTTGGAGTCTCTCGGGTCGCCCAACTTGGCATAAATTTCGTATCATATATACCGGCGACCCAAACAATAATAACCACATTCAACAACTTGCACCCAATCCTAAAGGAAAGTGCAAAACCCTGGACTTGCCACAAATGCAAGTCAATTGATGCGATGGCTTCCGTGAGAACGCGATCAGTGATTCCTCTCTCCCCATCCTGAATGTTCTGGGAAATGAAGCATCGGACATTTTCTGATGCATGCAATGACGAGGCTCCTTTGTCCCATGCCAACTCACGGGAGAAGCTATAGTCGACACGTTGGTGAGCCGTTTAGGACCCGAACGGGACGGGACCTCAGTTCATATGTCCTCACTAGGGAAATGACGTTACCTTGTGATGGACGGTGCATGGCCAGTTGCGTGGCATGAACTATCCATTCGTCGCCAACGCGCAGTACACTCGCCATTTGAAATCTCCCAGAATGGCAGGCGAAGACTCGTTGACCAACTGTTTTCCCACCTGCCCACACGACATATAGTCAATTCTACCTCCTCACTTGCAGGTGGAGATTTACAGCGTTTCTCCACTCCCGCTCTGTCCATGGCTAATCAGAAAGTTTCACAAAAACATGATGACCGGAGATTTCTGGATTGTCTTCTTAGAAAACAATCCACCAATCTGTGGACATCAAATTTCTGTGTCGCATGCTCACACCAAATGACCCACATCATCCCTCTGTGGGGTCCTCCTCCTTTCTTGGTGCGCCAAATGAGAGTGACCAGTAGTTAGCCCACTTCCTGTAGTAGCCAAGATCATATATTCACTTCACGACGACTCTCACGATATGACGTGCAACATGTTCAAGTTGTCTTTTCTTCTTTAAGGACATCTCACGACTACAAACCGTGGCATAGTTCTGTACCCATTTTTGGCATTTTCATTGT